ATTAAGAATGACATTGCAATAATCCAAGTGTGACATTACGAGTGCTATAACTAGTATTTCAGCTGCTTCTTTGGTGAGGTATTTTCGGATACTTTTTATTCTAAGATTGTTTAATATTGCAGTACGGCACTTTCGTTTGACATGTTCCTTGAAATTTAGTGTTTGGTCTAGAAATGCGCCTAAATATCTAATGGACCTTATCCCTGGTAATACAAATGGATTTAGGTGACACTTTTCGAGTTGTTGATAACTTCCAAATGTTATGAATTCTGTTTTCGATGAGTTCATCTTGAGTTTATTAGCGTTCATCCAGTTGTTGATATCAATCGCACCATTTTCTAATTCAGCGATTGCAGAAATTTCACTATTTTCTTCCGTTGGTTTTAAACGTTTGGTTGCAGTATGGTCATCAGCGAATCCATACACCGATAATCCATATGGAATCACGTCAAACAAGGTTCGTTACATACGTTAGGTAGAGCCAATGCCCTAAACAACTACCCTGGGGGACACTGCACTCTAGTTGCCGTGGAGCTGAGACTGCCGAGTTGACATACACGCGACAGCCCCTAGGACGAAGGTATGAATCAAGCCAGCTGAGCACTGAACCGCTCACGCCGTACTGCTTCTGTAGCACGTCGACGAGTATATCATGATCCACAGTGTCGAACGCGGCACTGAGATCAATCGCGATTAGCGCTGTAACTTCTTGTTTTTCCATGGCTGCCAACAGATCATTAACTAATCGCAGTAGAGCAGATTCACAGGAGTGGTATTTTCTGTAGGCGGATTGATTTGTAGGTAGTAAGTCATACTGATCAGCATGTTTATTTAGTATTAAGAGAGCTGCTTTTTCAATCAATTTTGATAAAAACGATAGATTACTCACAGGTCTATAATTTGAGAATACAAGTTCAAGTCCAATTTTCTTCAAAAGTGGTCTCACGATAGCCTCTTTTCATTTATTTGGAAATATTCCTTGCTGTAGTGATAAGTTTACCAGTTTTGTTATAATTGGGAGTAGTTCTCCAAGGAATAGTTTTAATATTGCTGTCGGTAATATGTCCAATTCACAAGATTTTGTCTGTAGTTCATTTATCAGCTCTTTAACATTATCATTTGATAATTCATCAAAGGCAAGAAGAGATGGAACGTTTCTAGTATTTGGCTCGAATTTATCAAATGGTTTAAGGTCATCACGTATTTTCTCTATTTTATTCATGAAAAATGAGGCAAAGTGTTCGGAGAGCTCACTATCACTGTACCCAGGTGGCATTGGGTTTTCTGATTTAGTTCCTGTTAACTCAGACACTAACTGGTACAGCTTCTTGGAATCACCCTTTGTATTAGTTACTTTTTCACTTATTACTTTTGTTTTCTCTTTTTCGAGTTCATCATTGTACTGGTTCCGAGACTTTTTGAACGATTCATATTGTTGAGGTTGACGATATTTTCTCCATATTTTTTCAGCTTTCCGAGTCGATGTTTTAAGGGTGAGAATTTCGGGAGTGAACCATGGTTTAGGGGCTCTAATTACTTTTGTTATCTCTTTTTCAGGTGCATGAGTGTCCAGAACGTTCTTTATTTTATTTTCAAACTCATTCACGTATAGATTAATATCACTCTGATCTATTGTAATTTCACTGAACTCTTTTCTAACAGATGACTCGTCCATATTTTTAAAGTTTCTAAATTTGACTGACTTACTGATTATGTTTTCTTTTTGAACATTTATAACACATTTTATTGCTCGATGATCAGACACACAATCACCAGGTTCACATGCCACAATTTCAACCCCATTGACTGCTTCCGTAATAACAACGTCAAGAGTATTGCCAAAAACTTGTGTGCCAAAGTTAACATGCTGCACCAAACCCATAGCGAATAATGAGTCTTTAAATTCTGATATCACGCTATTTTCTTCATTCAGATGTAAGTTAAAGTCACCCAGTGTTAGAAGATTGGAATATTGAGGCATAATCCCTTCCATGAATTGGAAAAAGTCAGAAATAAATTGTGAATTTGTTGACATGGATGGTGGTCTATAAATGCCAATTACATGCATTGTAATGTTTTTGAATACCAGTTGCCAAATACCAAATTCGAAACAATTTGTCACTCCAGATTTCAATTTCCTCATATTCACAACGGTGCGACAGGTCAAAGCAATCCCACCGCCGATTCGGTTCTTTCGATTGGCTACACTAATTTTATAACCGTTTTGATTAAGGTCACTAGTTTCATATTCATGCTGATTTTCGTCCGAATACCAAGTTTCAGCGAGGAGGGCAAAATCAAGTTTCTGTTCTCGTAGTATCTGACCAACACGAACATCCTTGTTTCGAACTGAATGACAATTAACAGTTATGAAAGATACTTTTTCATTGAATCTGTTATTCAGTGTATTGCATTTCTTTGGATATATGAGATTATGAGAGTTAATCCCATTTTGCTTTGTTAGAGGTTTTGATTGTCCACCCCTCTTTCTTTTCCTTTTTTTCCAGCCGGGGGCTATGTCCAATTTATTTATTGTATAGAATACAGATTGATCAGGTTTATAATATCTCCAGTGCTTTGTGACATTTAATCCAATGTTCAATAATTGATCACGGCTGTAGGCAATTTTGTTTGTTGAAATATTTTTGGTTTGTAAAATGTCTACTCCATTATGATGTAAAAATTGTCCAAAATATTCAGTTGAAGTATGAGTAGCCCATTCAATCAATGACACAGCCAATAAATAAACACAAACAAAGATGCACATCATCATTTAAATAAATACACACTGTCAAACAAAAATACAGATTATGTTTATTTACATATTTTAATAATACATTTTTCAAACAAGAATTTCCAGTTCGCATGTGTACACTTCAGATTTTAAAAAATGCAAACATTATTCAGAAAAAATAGAATTATTATTTACTATAAAAGTTAATATTACATTTTTACAACTTGAATGATTTAACATACTTTTTACAAACAATATTCACATCATATATTCATAGCATATCTTATTGTTTAGTAAATCAGTTAACTGTAAAACAATGCAATCACCTTTCATATAAAACACAACAGTCTGTTCAATTTATACCAAAGTAAAGACCAACTCTGGATGGTGCTAACAATATTACTTGATATATGATTATTTAGAAAAGAAGCATTTAATTAGTGTTTATTTTGCTCTTTTTTTAGTAGTTAACACAAAGAGAAAAACCGATTACATTTTTTATCAAATCGAAAGTACTGCCTGATAATGCAGTAGCAGTACCACTTTTAAGAAACTAATGCAGTACCAGTACCAGTAGTAGCAACACTTTGTAAGAGTAATTCAGTATCAGTACCAGTACTTGCAAAATCAATGCAGTACCAGTAATGCAGCTCTGATTATGCTTCTTTATCTTTTTATATTATATGCCCGAACGAAATTGGACACATTATGTTATACCCCCTGGCGTCCGTCCGTCTGTCTGTATGTCTGTCCGTTCCAACATTTTGGGTTTAGGGGCAATTTTCTTTGTTATTTTCTTTGTTTTCTTAAGGGCTACTAGCCCATAAACCCTTTGATCACGTTATGAACCTATTGTTCTCTTTTGTTCTCTTTACTGTACCGTCCGTTAGCAATTTGGTTTCCGGAGCATAACTTAAGTTCTATTTGGCCCACATTATTCAAACTTCGTAGGATAATTGTCCATATTGAGTAGATGACCCTGATTTTGGAGTTACAAGGTCAAAGGTCAAGGTCACTATTACCTTAAAACTGAAAACAGTTTCCGCTCAATAAATTAAGAGTTATTCAATCTACAGCTGTAAAATTTTAAAGGATGAACAGTCGTGTCCAATATATGACCCTTATTGATTTCAGGGTCATAAGGTCAAAGGTCATGGTCAGAATGACCATTACACTCAAAATTGTGGTTTCTGGAGCATAACACAAATTCCATTTTGCTAACGGTGTTCAAATTTCATAAGATAATTGCCTATATTGAATGAAAAAATCCATATGTATATAAGGGTCACAATTCAAAGGTCAATTTCAAATGACCTTATTACTGTTAACAGATTTACAACTGTCAAACTTCATAGGATGATTACTTATATCGAGTACATAAATTATATGCCCGAAGAAATTTATGTTAATGTTATGCCCCTGGCGTCTTTCCGTCATTACTAAAAAAAACTTTTCGGGCATATAATGCTCCGCCTAGCGGTACTCTTGTTTTCAAAGTTTGTCTGAACTACTTCTCTTTACCAACGACGCAATTTGAATGAAACTTTTCAGGACTAATTAGTTCCTTAGCTATTAGCTCTGTTAAATGCCTTAGTACTTGCTCAAATTTAACACGTTTTTTTGGTTGAATCATTTTTGATGAGTTATGGCCCTTGAACAAAAAGGCTTTTTTGTCTGTTTATGATTACTGTGTTTCCTGCTACACAGTAGTTGCAAAATGCTACAAAAAAGCAGAGACGTATAGGGAAAAACTGTCCAATCACCACTCAATACAAATGGTTAATTGGCTATCATCAGGCGAGACATATAATCAAAGAGCGCTCTGGTATTCCCATTGAAATCGCCAGTTACAAGCATTGTTTATGTTAACATATTTACGAAAAGCAAATTTACAGTCGTGGTATAACTTTTCAATACAATCTATAATAATGCATAAAATGAAATATTTATAGTGGAGGAAAATCAATTTGTCAAACAAAATTTCGTCATTTTATGATTAATAGATGAATAATGCTAAAGCCAGTGGTATGGAGCGTGGACGGTAGCTTGCACTTTCCATTTACGTCCGTGAACAGGCTGAATCAAAACAAGCGTGCAACATAATCATTTATCCGTTCTTGGCGCTCTTTAAAAAAATTCCATGTTATTTAAATGTTATATTTGTCTTAACAAAGGTCAGATACGTTTTGACTTGTTTCAAAAGTCATAATATATAGAATGGGAACTCGAGAGATCCATATAATTACTATTAACAATTGTGACTTACCTTTGAGATTCCATTCCAATGTCTTTCGAATTCGTCTTTTGAAAGTTTTCCTGTTTGTGACAAATGCGAAATGACCTGATAAAGAATAAAGAAAATTGTAGGCATGCATTTTATGTTAGAACCATCAATTGCATTTCATTAAACTATACAATACTATACACACTTGAAGAAAAATGCATAAGGAAATATTTCTGATTATCATATGACAATAAACTTATTTGTTTCTCTGGGTCAATATTTAATTTTAAACAAGATACAAACATACAGGTCACATGTAATGGTACTATTATAAAACCAAAATTTTCTGTTTAGAATTCAGTTGCACCTATTGATCTAAATCTATCTCTTGATGTCAAGGCACAAGGCATTCTTCGAATGGCAAATGTCAGGTTAAAGTTTCATTACAGAAAAAGTGATTGCTATACTCAACATACTAAAACAATTTCGTCTTTCATACAATGTAATTTTGACTATGCATATTCAATCTAGTATCTTGGGTTAACACATGTTAACACAAGTGGAAAACTAAACTCCAAACAAAACAGGACTGAGCAATTGAAGCAATATTGGTTCAGAACATTCCAAAATACGAAATTGGTTACCTGTTTAACACCGTGTGGAATAAATAATCTTATGTCATGTTTTTAAAGTCAAATTTGGCTTAGCACCAAACTACTTGAGTGATAACTTTTTTCCGCAAGATGTTGTCTATCGTTATAACACACGGCTTTGTAATAATGGTGTGGATTAAAATCATTTTTGTACATAGGCTATTCACTGTGGAACATTTTACCAGTCAACATTACTCATATTGAAAATCTGCCTGATTTTAAACTTGCTGTAAATCAGTACTTTTAAGCATAATTGAATTTAACTATATTTCATGACTACTTACATTTTATGATAAATTTTAGCATGAGTCATGCATGAAGGTTTCATTTTTTAAAATAATGCTTATATAACTTTTTTAAATAAATATGTCTGAACTGTTTTGTATGTCAACCCATATGTCTGACACCTTAAGTTTTACAACAATGAAACAAACTCATTGCCAGTTTTTTTAGAGCGTCATTTTGGACGATAGGTCTTTGGTTTCCAGATATGTTACAAATGTAAATTTAAGCCAATCTAGCTTCTAGCTTCATCATCAAACTTTTAACAGCAAATAAACTCACAAATATTCCACCCAGTCCCGGAAGTATTCAAACTGTCTGCATGTCTGTCTTCATAGATTTTTTGTTGTTGTTGTTGTTTGTTTTTTTTTTTTATTTTTTTTTTTTTAAGAAATATAAGAAACTATTTTGAGACTTGGAACCAAAAGTACTAGTACATCCAAATTTAACAGATGCAGTTGCTGGTGTTGTAGTCATCTCTAAATGACAGATTTTTAGCACCTTCGTATCATGATGGATTAAAATTAAAAAAACAATAGCTGGATATAGAAAATTTAATGTGTCGAGTAACCTCCTTATATAATCAGGCTTTTTAAAGTTTTTAAAGGAATGACCAAGATTGTTCCTTGATTTGATTTACCAAAAGTCTTTAGAGCTATTCAAACATAAGTATATTACTGATAACCTGTTTCTTCTTACAGCTATTACAACGTCATCGACTGACATGCATTAAAGCTAGCAGAGACTTTAGTTTCAGTCCAGTCTGGTTGAAATATAATACAGGCAACAAATCCTAAGCTAAATAAAATAGATTTCTACGATTCTATAGAAGTGAAATAGAAGTTATTTTCTGTATTGTGATATGTTTTTATGTCGTTTAAACTAAGTGTATATTAGATTTAAAAACAGAAATTGCTTTACCTCATTTCGGGCTTCACGAATTCTTACAATATCGGCTATTGTTGAAATATCAGCAGCAACAGGATTTTTATCATCCCAACGTTTGTCAAATTGATTAAAGCCACATATATTTCGGAGCAGAATTGCTAGAAGTGTTATATCAAATGTCGTTGACTGTGGAGATCCCTGGCTTGGATACAACAGATGTTCCTGTGAATCGATCAAAACCTTTTTCGTCCTAAGGTATAACAATTTTCCCTTTGTTGTAGGATTTGAAAGAACAGTTTGAAGATCTGCAGGTGGAATTTTGTCATCAAAAATGTGTTTGAATACTCTAGTTCCTCCGTCAACAAGGAGAGAATATAGTCTGAATCTTCGGGTTTTTGACTCGTTAATGTGTAAGTCTAAACCTGCAAAACATAGTGCTTAATGATATACACCTTATAAATAAAACACATTCAATGCATCAATTTAAATACCAACTAATAATAATAGAACTTGTGTAAAATGTAAAATGTCAAACCTGTTTCCAAATATTGTTGTGTTAACTCCCATTTTCTGAATTCTTCACGTAATGTGTTTTCTGTTTCTTCGTCAAAAGAATCAATTTTGAATGGATCAGATACTTCTTTGAACACGTCTTCTGTTCCAAAATGTGTGAATATCTTAATATTATGGGAATAAAGAGAAAAAATAATCAGTACAAGATTTAAATCAACGGCATTTTAACACGGATTACATTTAGCTAAGACAATAATTGCGGTATATAATCATTAAAATAATCTATTCTTAACTTGACTTAACAAATGCACTGACCAACAACAAACTGTTTTATCGCATTTTTCAAAAAAAAATACGTAATAACTACAAACAATGAAACGTTTCTAAATCATATACCGCATTGATGCTATAATAAAATTAAATGTAAAATGAAGTGAATTATACATTGCAATATTCAATATTAATTCGTAAATGCCAACAAGGAGATTGAACTTTAAAAATTATTTGAAAAAAGTCTTATATATGATCTAACCTGATGCAATTCATTGCACTTTTCCTCGAAGATGTCTTTCGTTAATTCATTTTCTTCCAACTAATCATGCAAAAGAAGAATAAAAACAATGTGATAGGCTGATTTTACTATCCAAAGACTATTAAATATGTTAATCATATATTTGCAAATCCAATGCTTTTAGCTAGCTATCTTGTTATCGTATAATTGAAGCTGTGAAATTGTTCTCTTATCTACGTTATTTATTATCCTAATCATCCATTTATTCATAGGTCGTTTATATTTACCTCACTTATATGGTCTCGTAGTCTAACGATATTTGCCGCCCTAGATAAATCATTTGGCTCAGGCTTTGATCCTTTATCCCAAATGCGGTCATTGCGAGGTATGTCGCAAAAAAATGTACGCATTATTATGTATAGAATTGTGAATCCAGCATTTTCTAATGAAGGTGATCCATTTTTAGGGTACAGAAGCTCGAAGTCCTCGTCAGTTATCACATGTTCTGTACGTAAAAAGCATACCGTTTCCTTATTTTCAGATTCTTGGAGAAAACTTGATAAATTGGTTTTCGATTTCTGTAGGCTTTGTTGTATGAGGAGCCGAAATGTTTGCTGTCCACGATCTTTGATAAGGTATCTGAGCTGAAGCTTGTAATCACAGTTCTCAGTTTCTGACACATATTGTCGAGTTTTGTATTCTGCTGGAAAAAAAAATTGATAACAACAAAAATTTTTGATAATTATTATCACCGCCCACATCATCATCATTATCATCATAAAATAGAGAGAGAAATTATAAGCATATATTTAAAATTTATATTTCTTTTGAAAATAATATTTTATTGCGTATTAATCAGTTTCCTAAATTAGCTCTTTGGATTCATTAACTGTTTAACAGAATCAATCTAATTAAAATCAGCTCTAAATAACGCTCAGCATTTAGGTCTAACCGTGACCAAATACGAAATCATTTCTTGTGACCTTTCACACAGCCAATCATCGGCGAGCTTTCATAATTTTGAAAGCGATGTGGTTTCTAATTCTAACTCTGGGAAAATCAATACTGAGTATGTAATTTTCACCATTTCGAGAACAAACATGGCGTTGTCCATATAGTCGACAGATAAACTGGCAAAATAGTCTTGCCTATTTAAAACTGAACAAAAATCAACATTCTTTTACTTCCACGGATAACGGTAGTTTAATACCCCTTCTAATGTCTATGTAAAAACCGATTTGATTGCATGACAAAAATAGCCTTCATTATAAAGAAAGCGAAATATAAACGGTCGTTATCAGATCTACATAAAACTGAACTTAAGTCAAATTGTAATAGAAACAACCTGAAATATCTGTTTGAAAATAGAGTGTTATTAACTCTTTTTGTTGTCGCATGTGGAATTTAATGTATAGAAATATTACTTTAATAAGAATACTATCAATTTGTAAAGTACTTTTTGTACGAGTAAACCCATTTAAATATTAAATAGGTAAACATTTATTTCTTTTTCATTAAAAATGATGCGAATCACATACACGAGGGCTACTCGTTATGTAACGTGTATTGTACGCACTTTATATCAAAAGCAGTCGATCAAAACAAATTTACTCTTCGGGAACCGGTATATATACGGCTAGACCATCACAGGAGAATATGCAATAATTCTCCATAAGATCCTTTTAAGATAACTTCATGCCTGTTACCGCGTTTGGTAAGCCATATTTTGTTTCCAATTATTATGACTTTCAGGCCCATAAAAATCTGGAATAAGTGTGTTCCCCTGGAAGTAATAATAACAAAATTACATTAAAATTCTGAGTCTGTACATAAGGGATAATCCCTAGCACCGACTTGAACGGTTTTCAATTTTCAACAATTAAAAGTGTTGGAATTAATGATCCCGAAGGACCAGAAAAATATAACAATACTGAAGTGAAGTATGGCGCAACTTTTTACAGATGCCACATAACACTTGGCGCCTGAAGTATAAAAATATGGAATAGAAATCTGCTATGTCTAATTACCAATTTAGTACGAACTGTTATAAAATCTTTATTTTTTTTAAATATCTTCAACATGTTTCCTAACATCGACCAGCTATATTTGTTTAAATATTGTGTTGTGTTTATACAGTTGGATAGGTAAAGAATAGAGCTATTCAGAACTATCAACATCTACGAAATCGTGCAAAGCGTTATCGCACGGTAACATATCGAAAAATCCTCATTCATGTACGCCATTGTCTGATAAGGTGAGGGCGACGTTTCATTTTGTGCACATAAACGTTTTATAGACTGAAATGGTCAAACAGGTTATGAAGTATATTTGGTGAATGTCTGAGTGTGATCGAGCTGGCCTGGATACAAACATTTTTTTCACAAGTTGTCTTATTTTTTGTAATTACCAGTATTATGACGAAATGAAAATGTTTAATATAATACTTGAAATTAAATAGATTCTTTTAATAAATCAAAGATATGATAATTATAAAAAATTTTGAAACGTGCGTGCATTAGAAACGTCTGACAAGAAACAATACAACATAGTTAATTTTATAAAAACTGTACAACCTTGAAGGAAGTATAATCAATAGAAATTACGGGAAACTGATCATAAATTATAATAATAAAATTTGAGTTAGCAATGTATATTTTATATTTATATTTGTCGCATGTTGCGGCGATTTGTCTTTGATGTTCCTTAGTTGTTATACGCCAGTAACATGCTTTATTGGTAATAACGCACAGTGCGATATCTCAGTTAAAGTATACTTCTTCAGAAGAAAGTGTGCGTTATTTCTAATAAAGTACAGTTAACTAATTACACTTGGTTCATGTATAAGCGTAGACAAATACACAAGAGTCACAGGCCGGCATTAAAATTTAGGCTGGAAAAACAACGAATATATTCAGATTTGGGACAGATAATGGGGTACTGGGAATATGGATGTCAGTGTTGAAAAAGCTTTGTCTGGGGCTTTAACGTACTTGTTTATAAATCATTTAATTCTTTTTCCTGAATGTAATTTGGTGCAAGGAGGCACTGCCTGTATAAACATTTTAATGAGTAGATACACTCACAATATTTCCAATGTCAAGTCCGCGAAAAAATAACAAAAATTGTTTTTACTGAAAAAGATTTAAAATCCATCTTTTGGCATGTTATTTAAACAAATACTGATAAACTGTGGTAAGCGTCACAATTATGTTTTTGTCTGTGGTCATCCAACCGATTAGGAACACTCACTTTACTTCTGCATGGATCTTACGTTATGGGGATTACAATAATAAAAAATTAAAATCGGTCAAAATCAATTTTTTTATTTATATTTATCATGCGATAAAACAGTTATAGTATATCGAACTCGACTGTTATGTGGAAATATCATGGCCTGGGGTGGCATCTCGGGTTTCCCCTACAAAACTTTTCTTGGCCTTATGATCTCGACTATTTTCTGTAGGGAAAACCTCGATGATATTTTCACATAACAGTCACGTCGCTATACTATAACTATAACTTAAAGAAGGTTTGGATTTTAATTTCTTTTCTGACCCAATTACCATATAAGTGTTTTTATGTCACCGCAGCATCTGTGTTTGTATGTTTGTATGTGTGTTATATAGATTATATAGTGAACTTAAGAAATTTTCTTGTAAACAAACACTTGTCCAAATTCAACCAAACTTGGCAGGATTGATACTTGGGAAAAGAGCTTTTAAAATTTTTAAAGAATTTCATTCCATGCAGAAATCTGGTTGCCACGGCAACCAAAAGGAATTATAAGAATAAATTTAAAAAATCTTCTTGTAAAGACCCACAAGGCCTAGTGCACAGATATTTTGCATAAGGCATTGTCTGGTAGATCTCTACCAAGATTGTTCAAATTATAGCCCTGGGGTTAAATTGGCCACGCCGGGGGGTTATTGATTTTAAGTATGTACTTAGATCTACTTGTCTGAAGGTACAAGGCTAAGAGCTTTGATATTTGCTTTATAATATCATATATAGTTGCTATTTTATTTATACTTTATAGACTGAAACTTTTCATATTCGAAAGGAACATACCATGGATGGTCCAGTGCTGGGAGTCACATTGCACTAGTGATGACATTAATTGGTTTCACTTTTTTTACAGCTTTTGTATTTTTACAAATGTCTCACATTTACAAGGAACACACCTAAGGTGGTCCTTTCTGTTTGGATGGAGTTTGGGGTCGCTGGGTTCAAGGTATGTTTTGCATTTTCATGCATATATATTTGATAAAGTTGAACATTTTTTGTGTGAAACACATGTATATCGATTTTCATGTGACAGGTTTGCAAAGATCATAATTCTTTTCAGATAAAAACTAAAAGGAAAACAAATAACTTAAGGCAATATTTGATTTAGCGGTAATCGATATCAATTTTTTGTTTTATTTATTATCGTTTCGAGACGTTTTGACCTACAAGTTTGATAATAAAAAAAAATGTTATAGTAAATCATACCACACAGAGCTATTCCTATTGAGTTTTTCAAACTTTTCAGAAAAAAATCAAATTTTCTACAAATACTGCAATTCTTGCTAAGGTCAAAGACAATACATATTACCTTTATCTTAAAACATATAAAAATATATCTAAATAATGTTATATCTTAAATTTTATATATATATGATAAAGTTGAATATTTTTAAATTTTCAACTTCATCACAAGTCATAGCAATGACTTGCCAACTTATATGTTCACAATTACAAACGCCATGACTCTGTGAAGTTATATAACTGTGTGTTTATTTGGCAATTTCCGTCCTGATCTAAGGGAATTGGTAATTTTTTTTTAATATTGTTACTGACAAGAATCTGAGGCGGGGGCATTTGTGTTTAACAAACACGTTCTTGTTTATAACTATCTCTTTTCAAGCATCCATTTTAATGTCTTTTTAGGGCAATTTATCAAAACTTCGGACATGAATGAAGATGTCTGGAGTATTATCTGCAGTTGTTAATTTACAACGCTATCTCTATTTGGTTGTGAGCAGGCTTTTTCTAATTGAAAAACTGATAAGAGTAGAAGGGCTGATCTAAAGTTATGTATCTGTTTTATTATGCATTACAACAAAATACATGTTCATAAGAAAGAAATACCAATATACGAATTTGCAGAAAGTTTATCCCAGGACTACAACTGCATTTTAAACAGCTGAATTTTTAAAGTTTTAAAATCAATTGAGGTATAAATAACACGTTTTCATATGCCCAAAAATATCATGTTTTTATGTACAATTACATATCTCAGATATTTTGCATGAAGCATTGCTATGTTGATATCTACTAAAGTTGTATAAATCATGCTTTTCGGGTTAGTATAGACACTGCCCCAGGAGTCCGTTCGATAAGAAAATATGTTCATGTTTGTATTCTTATATATAGTTACAAGCCCGATATTAGTTATTTGCCACGAATCGCTAAAATGTACCTAATAGAACCCTGCAGTAGTTACAAAAACATCTCACTGATATTAAAAGATTGCTGTGCCTAGATTTACATATACATAGATTTATTTAGTATACATTCTTTTTCACCAACCTATAACGTACAGAACAGAGATATTTAGTATGTATCATCACTTTGCTGGCTTTATAAAAGTTGATTTATCACTGTTGTACAAGGTTGATGTCTCTGTCAGTTTTGATGTTATAGTTGCAAAAATGAAAATTATTCGTAAGTATAGCATTTTTATTTTTGATTATTTTAGGCATAAAATGTTGTGCTTTTGAGTTTCTGCTATATTATTTGTACGTTTCTTTGAATTTCTATCAATTAGAAACCAATATAATTGAAGTTCTTAGTCAATATATATAATCAATGGAAATTGCATGGAGGTACATTATCACCACTTTGTGCTTCAGATTAACTTTTGACGGCGAGACTGGTGATATGTCCGGAGTCCGAACTCGATAACGAAAGCTGCATTAATTTTTAATGCCTTAACCTCATTAGGTACATAGGTACATTTATACATACAGTTAACGTAAAGATCTTGGAACTGACCTAACATGGACAAACAACATCTTTACAAGTTCGTATCTTCCATTGCATATAATACATATACAAGTTTGCAAACTTACAGATAACAATCTTACCTGAGACAAGACAAATGTTTATACAACTGAAACGTAAAACTCGAATATAGTAAATAGAGTTTAAGCAATATTTAAAAGCGGGAACCTTCAATTTAAAGATTAAGAGGCATGTTATTTTCTGGCCACGGATACCGTTAAGAATACTATACATACGCGTTCGAATTTTCAAAAGTATATTAACACTTAACATGTCTGGAATTTTGGCAACGAACGCCCTCCACATGCCCATGTCGTGCTTTTTTATTTTGGTATTGAAATCTCTTAAATCACAAGTAGACTGCGCAAAATTTAAAACTAAACAAATAAAGCAGGTAAAATGCTACCTCCTGACTTTTGAATCAAGCTTATCAATGACGGGTTATTAGCATAATAGACATACGCAGTTTAATGCAGAATGTGAAATACAATTAGGGTTTCCCCTAAGCACTTTAGATTTTAAAGAAAACCGAAATAACAGTAACTTATGACAATAAAGTCATAAAAATAGATCAATTTTGTCATTTTTTTTCTTACTTAAATGTGTTGATTTCTTCAAAATAAACAAAGATAAGAAAAGATACAGTTACTTACCATATGGTATGAATTATACGAATTACACAATAAATCAAATTAGAACTTTTGTACCTTTAAATTTAAATCTTAATGTAAATTATCTTTTAAAACAATTGCATTTATTTGTTAAATTAAACATATTGATTTTGATGTCTCAAAACATCAAGTTCCGGATTTAAACTGACGAGATCCTCAATAACAATTGTTTGATTGACTGGGGGGGGGGGGGGCTTTTGTCCTTCCTGTATTTTTGATTGGGGGGGGGGGCTTTTGTCATATGTGTAAATTTCATGGGGGGCTTTTGTCCACCTTGTCATTTTTAGATGGGGGGCTTTCGTTCGTGGGGCTTTTGTCCGTATCCCAACTTGACCAGTAATAAGATACGCAGTTTCCCAAATAAACTTCGCGCATTTCTTTATTCACATGAGACATATTCAGTACAAAAAATCATAATTTCAATAAATGTCTGCAATAAAAAGAAAATACCTAAAGATGAGCTTAGCAGATATTTAATCGAATTTAAAAGAAATGTCATAAAACCGAGTGCCTAAGATAAAAGTATAAGCTCATTAATTTTGAAATCATTATTCAGTATAAGAATGGTTTATAAAATATATCTTACCTTCTCCCATTGTCAGCATGTCCCTTTCCGTCGGAATGTGTGAATAAATCTACCTCAATGTAAATCAATAAGCCATCGATCTGAGATAATCATCCTACGTCACTGATAACAGTCCTGTTCTAAAAATAGCCACAGTCTAAGGTAGTATACCCCTAATGCATTTACTCCACTTTAAAGAGTATACGTCCTCGGCTATTATCTGTAGTCCTTATCCGAAGACTGACGGAAAGGGCCGAAAAGTTGCGATTGCTAGAACAACTGTCAACTACAATGAAACTGAGGGGCGAAGGTTCAAACCACAAAGGGGTAACTTTTTTTCTTCTTTTTTTATGCCCCCGGGCATTTAGTAATTGAACCGTTATTTCCATTTTATCACTTTGAAAATAGGGCCTTGAAAGGTTAACCTATTCCGGCAAGTTGGATTTTTATCTTAAATGTGATAGAGTTGATTTTTTTAACTTCATCACAAGTCAAAGCAAATGACTTGCCAACTTTTATTTTTCAAAATTACATAACTCTGTCAAGTAACATAACTGTGTGTTTACATTTTTTCTTTTACTATTTTCCGTCCTTATCTGAGTGAATTGGTTAATATTTTTTTTTTAATATTTTTACTGACAGGAATCTGAGTTGGGGACATTTGTGTTTAACAAACACGTTCTTGTTTCTTTTTAACATTATTTATGTGTCTCTCACACCCCTTGTGGAAAGAAAAAGTGTTTGATTTTTATTATATAATTATTGTAGGTAGTAGTTGGCTAAATAATGCCAAATTTAATAGCAAATATGCTACAAGATGTTTTCAAAGTCTAACTAGAACGGGTTTTGGTCACAAAAACATATGTCTCCCAAAACAAGGTATGGTATTGTGAATTTTGGTCAAAATCACGACAGCAGTTTGACCTTTGAAGGCCGGACAATATTTTTCTATATATATATAGCTCTGACGGCTATTTTGTGCAGCAAAGCAGAACATGCCGGTGATATTCACAACTAGGAAATGTACTGATGATACATACATAAGAAGAAATAATTTGTAACTTATAAGGAATTCAGAGAAAACAAATAATATTGAATAATATGCCCACAAAGTCAAATGGCACAGGGGATAGGATATTTGAGGAAGGGGGAGTATATTAAAGAAATAAAACTAGGGACAAAGGGAAGGATACTTACCGTAGACGAAAAACAACAAGGGACACAAACAAAAGTGTTCCCAAAACAGCAAAGACATACATTTGAGGAACACAGAGGGGCGCCGCCTTGGAACGGTAGGCAGCATAAGTATTGCTGGAAAGTTTAAACCGGTTAATGGTCACCAAACCTCACTCTTAGCCCCATAATGTTGCTTTAAACGAGACAGTGTAAATAAAATGAATCCCCGTTAAGTGAAATCCTAACAATTGTTATGGTTACATATGCAAACGGTAAAATAAGTAAAACATCGAAATGCTTATGTAGAAACATATAAAAGTAAACCCAATGACCATAACAAAAGTACTCAATATCTTAAAGAAAGACAGAGCAACGAGAAGATCACCTACAAGGGCCCGACGAAGCAAGGCAGAAGACGAACATTTAGGCAATCAGTCCCATAGAGTTTCCCATTTGGTCCGTCAGATGTAATCAAAAGAGGAAAGCGTAGTGTCCAACTGTAAAAGGGTTGAACCACTAAGCGTGCGGTATGTCTTAAAATATAAGGGTCATGTAACCCCTTTTAATACAACGTTTAATATTCTAGTAAAGACAACAGAAACAATACAATGACCCAAGACCTTACGAAGTTTGTAAATAACATCCCCGTAAAAATCAGGCTGGTTAATCCCTTGTCGCAAAAGTGTTTTAAATCACTATTGAATTTTGAAATTAAATCAAAGTTACGATTGTAAAATATTGTAAAATGTTTATGTTATTTATAATAGCGGTAGCCCTGTTTGAGTAACTTGCTAGCAATGAAAATATTTCTCTCGTTAAAATCATTTACGTTGTTGCAAGCTCTAGCAAATCTTATTAACTGACATATATTAACCCTGTAAGATGTTGCATGCGGTACATCTCCATCCAAATGTGGATAATTTACTATACCAAAATCAAAGTCATCTCTTTTATCATAGATTTCCGTGTGAATAGAATTGTTTTGATAGTAATATGAAGATCCAAAATGATGTACTTAAATTTCAAGAATTCGTTTTATTAAGTTGTAGCACAGGAACTTGAAATTCTATCAATATTAATGATAATATCCAAAATATACCCCCTATACAGTTATTTATACTGTATATGGGGGTATATTTTGGATATTATCATTAATATTGATAGAATTTCTAGTTCCTGTGGTTGTAGCTCAGTAGTACCGGTTTAAATGTTAGACACCATTTGATAAAAATTAGAGTTATCTAAATTAAAAATGTCATCAAGGTATATGGAAGTGTCATTAAATGCTTATATATTATCTTGTTGTGTATTTTCAGAGAGACTCAACATCAAGTCTCTTTCGTGGCAATATAAAACCAAATCGGTGCCCAATAAGTACCCATAGGAATTCCTATGCTTTGTTTAAGTAGGGTATAACCAAACCTGACGACTTCAAACCACTTGCCCCTCACCGCTGTGGGTTCGAATCCCGACAGGGACTTTGGTTTTTTCCATGTGAGGAAGCTATCCAGCAAGCTTACGGAACGTCGGTGGTTCTACTCAGGTGCCCGTTTGTGCCAGAAATAATGCACGGAGGGGCACCTGAGGTCTTCCTCCACTAGTAAAGCTGGAACGTCGCCATGTCGGTGTGACGTAAAACCCAATCAAACAAAAAGAAACCTGACATAAATGTTGTCTAAAAGAAAAGAGAGTGCTCTACCAACTCCGCCACAGGTCCACAAAGTATACTGTTTTACAATACAGTTTGTAAAGAATGCTTTTTGAGAGTTGCATGCAAGAAATGTAACTTTTTCCCGTACAAAGGTTTTGTGAATAAGGGAAATTAGTTTATCGTTAATTAAATTATGTGGCAGTGTAATTTAAAGGATAGAAAAATAGTATGTACTGACAGTTGAAGCTTTTAAATTTATCTAAAATTTCACCAGAATTCTTAATAGACCAAAATAGATGTTTGCCTGTGTTTTCGTATACTTTATTACAATATCTAATTACATGTGTTGCAACGGCAGTCGAACAGTCAATTAAGATGTCAATAAAATAGAAAGATTACTTGTTGTGCTAGATGTAGAATTAGCAATGAATCTGGCCTCGTAAGTCTTTTTATGTAATTTAGGAATCCAAGATATTATAGGAAGTTTTAGTTCTTTTTCATCCATTCGGACTTTAAGACTGGAAATATTAGTGACATGATTGTTAACAATGTCTTTTTCAGAAGCAGTAGTTTTAGAATACGCATTAGTACTATTAAGTTCATTATGCAAAACGTTATCGTAATATAAATCCGTGATGTAATGGATACGTCATACCATAATAATATTATTAGCCGTCTTGTCCGCTGACACCAAAACAAATTTTGAGTGAAAAGCTAGAATATCCTTTTACAGATGTCTAAAAGTAAGTCTCGGTTTAGGTGGAAGAAGATGTTCATTTCCACGATAAAAATTAATACGTGAATCAATAATTTTGAAAATGTTACGTTTCCATGTAGCTAGAGCATTACTATCAGCATTTTCACGGCAACACCATTTAATTGAAAAATCCTCTATTATTTCGGCAATCTGACTACGACAAGCATTAAAATCATTTTATGAAGGAACTCTGTATTTAGGTCCTTTCAGGAATAATTTCTGCAATAATATTAAAATTACCAGTGATAATATATATATGGCAAAAATCTGAATTACAGAATTTAGAAGTATTGCAGTGTTAAGTAACAACATTCAGATTGATGCAGTATTACTTGACTTTTCCAAAGCATTTGACAAGGTCCCACATGAAAGGGTGCTCACCAAATTAGACCACTACGGCGTAAGAGGTAACCTACTCCATTGGATCCGGAGTTTTTTGTCTGGACGAACACAACAAGTACTGGTAGAGGGCCATTTCTCACCAACCGCACCCGTTACATCAGGAGTGCCCCAAGGAACAGTCCTCGGTCCACTGCTCTTCCTGGCTTATATCAATGACCTGCCATCCAGAGTGAGATCCAAGGCCAGATTGTTCGCGGACGACTGCCTTCTTTATAGGACCATAGCTACAGAGGCCGACACCATGCAACTCCAAACAGACCTTGACAACCTTCAACATTGGGAATCAGACTGGCTAATATGCACTTCAACCCAGACAAGTGTGAGGTTATCCATATCTCCACCAAACGAAATCAACGCATTGTCCCATACTACATTCATGGTAAAGAGCTGGCTGTTACAACCAAGGCCAAGTATCTAGGGGTCAACATCTCCAACAACCTATCATGGAACCATCACATCGATAGTGTCTGTAAGAAGGCAAACAACACCACTGCCTTCCTACGGAGGAACCTCTCGTCCTGCCCGAGTAACATCAAGGACAAATGCTTCAAGACTCTGGTCAGACCCCAGATAGAATATGCAACCACTGTCTGGGACCCCCACACCAAAAAGAACATAGACAAAATAGAAGCGGTGCAAAGAAGAGCAGCTAGGTTCGTAACTAACAACTACAATACATGTGCCACCAGAATTTTCACAGCAATGATTGGCAAATTAAAATGGAATAGCCTACAACAACGCAGGACCAGAGCCTACAGAGGACCACAATGATGTATCGTGTTGTTAACTCCCTAATTGCCATACAACTGCCTCCCCAATTCAGCCAATCAGGAGCAGCCACAAGGGGGCATCAACTCCGGTACAGGATCCCATTCTGTCGCACCACAGTGTACAAGGAATCATTCTTTCCATCCACAATCAGGATATGGAACCAGCTGCCTGAAGACATCATCATGGCCCAGTCCATGGAATCCTTTAAGTCTGGATTCCAGGGATACATCGTACCTTAAGGAAACAGGACATGTTTTATCAGTTTTTAAATTGCATATGTATACAGGCGTGGACTCCCCCTCACGCACACGCTTTTTAACATTGAAGTGAGAAAATTCCGCAGCAGCGGCCCTTCACTATACTGGAAGAAGAAGAAGTAATTAGAGTATAAGACTGAATATTTAAGTTAGGGACCACTTAATTGTAATTGAATATGATATTTGTAACAGGTTTTTTTTTATATTTATAGCAAATAATTGGTATCTCGGAGTTTTTGAAGTATAAAGGATTTGAATCAGTGATAGGTTTATCACGAAATATACTGAGTAAATGACAGGTTTATCACGCAATATACTGGGTAAATCGATGAAATCGATACCTTTATAAAGAAAGGTAACTTTTAGGAAATGCCTGTCGTGGTCAGAAGTGTTGTCGAATTGAGGGAGTATCAATTGTAATTACCATTCTGCCAAGGGAGGTAATCACCGTGAGGTCGTGTAGATCAGGATAGTTTATTATTAGAGTTACAAAAGTTACTTCCCTTTTTATATTTCACATAACAAAACGAAAGTAAATAAGAAAGAAGATGGACACACTCGTTCAGTTAGTTGGCGGATATAGGGAACGTGATAAATTAATACGATTATGTCAATATGTTGCACGATTTCTGGCCGGTACAGGCCAGACCAATATGGGTGCTAGATTCAGCATAATCGCCCAGGAGTTCGGGAAATGCCGTACTGTTCTGCGGTTATTTGATGACATACCAATGCTGGCCTATACATTGCACTATGGTCTAGGTAAAAAGGTCAGTATTTAGTACGTTCCAAAGTTTGAAGTTTAACAGAGTTTAATATGTAGTATGTTTTGCTGTAGATTTGACAGATTAGACATGTCCAACTCATTGAACTTGTGTTAAGTTACTGATAAAATAATTAATGATTTAAAGAGTGATTTGAGTCAATGATTCTCTGTGATCTAAAGTTTTTGTTTTGCCATTATTGGAAAGTCAATAATCTGACATACACTTTAAAACTTTAAAGAAATCAGAAAAGTTTGTATATATGATCTTAATGCCAAGGTCACAAATGACAAACAGCCGCTGGGCGATGTCTATTTCTCAAAAAAATCGAAAATTATATCGGATGGCAGCAACTGAAAATTTTGTGAAAATTTTGTCATCGGGTGGGCGCCGTCGAGTTTGATGTACTACTTAAAAGCTAACACCACCAGGACAATATTTTTTGGGGCCAGAGAGTTAAAAAGTCATCTAGAGGGGATTGTTGCCAGGTGGCGGCGCCCGGGCAATGTTATTTGGATTGCACAATTATTTTTATACAAAAACACCATCTGATTTTAAAGACATCTGTGCAGACATCACTGGGGCCCTTCCCAGACAGCACATGGCTGAATCCTGAATTCATCCTCCTACATTATGGGGTTAATACAACGCTTAAATTTTTCCGAATTTGTCTCATACATGCACTTTTCTCATTGCTTTCAAAATACATTTAATCACTAAGATAAATATAGTATAAACATATTATCAGATTAAATAAAATGACAAATCTATTCTCTGACTTAAAAGAGGTATGTAACCTATATTAATACACCTAAGCTTATACTCATACTTGAGATGAAAAGATGAAGTTTTAAAGTGAATTTCAGCACATGAAAGGGTGAGACTTTAGCATTTTATCATTTAAGAACTAGCTGATATATGTCAGCTGTCCTAGGTGAAAAAAAACACTGAAACCAAGCTAAAATGCATGGAAAGTAAATGATTAAGATCTTATTCCAGCCTAATGTATAGCTGAAAAGTTGCTTTTACAGTCAGAACATAACAAGAAACCATTACTACATAAGGTTATTATATTGTTTCAGTCCAATATAAAGATTTATTAGAGCTGTCATCAGTATTGTCAATCAAATAGAGGATATTTGTTTAGTTCAATGTAAGAACCGAACGAGCACTTAAAAATATATTTCACAAGTGGGGCAGCAACAAGTGAAATATGAACTTTTAGTGTTCTCTTACCTGCCAAACCTGCCCTTTCCATGACTATAACATGCTGTAAATAACAGGCAAAATGAGCCAGAACTGCTGTTGGATTAATGCAATAATTTCATTGCACGAAAACTAATAAGGGTTAAGCACTTTGGCGAAATTGGCAGGAAGTTTCCTTGTGACAGACCATGCCAGGCATGGTCTTTTCCACAGTTTTGCTTATCCTAAAGTCAAAGTAACCACTTTTTTACTGGTTATCTTGGCAGCTGGGGGGTGGGAGAGTCTGGGTTACAAATGTGTGGTAACTATGATGCATCAATCAACAAAATGACAAGTATGTTAATTCAGCATTTCTTCTGCCTGCTTTATATCTGTTATCTTTTTAAACAGCAAAGAATATCAATAAGAATTTTTGTACTTTCAGGAGTCTAACAGTGGAATACGCTTTCTGACATTATTGGGTAACTGTGCCAATCAGCTGTACTTCCCGTTAGAACATGTGTCATGGTGCGCCCAGAATAAGATCTGTAGCAAAGGGTCGCTGGAAGGGCCTTCGCTTTGGGGTCGTTTTAGGAATTGGCTTAGTGGGCGCCCCACACCCAAATCCTCGGTTGGTTGATGTGGGATACTTGTGTATTAGTTCCTTTTCTTTACTCAGTGACCTCCAATATCCTCTTTGTAAATGATTGTATTTTATAACACGAAAGTCCAGTATGATGTTATTTCATTTATTTCTTTATAGTCTATTGAAAGTTCTCAAATACAAAATAATCATATAGTCCACATATATATTTTCACAGCTAGCACCTGAATTTGCCTAAGTTAATTTTACTTATATATTTTCTAAGATAAGACTATAAGATGTTGTAACTCCAAAATACAAAATAAGACTTTTAGATGTTGAATGTTCCCCAAATCAAAATAAGACTAAATTTAAAATATAAAAATCAACAATATAAAATAATCAAGTGTGGCTTGTTTGATAAAAGATGATAAAAGACTAGGAAATTGAGAATGAAGCAATAAGGTATCAAAATCAAAAGGTGACAATATTTTCTTATTGACCACTATGACATGTTTATACTAGAGTTGTAAAATTTATCAGTTGAGATTCTAAAAGTATTTTTCATCAAAATAGTTATGCAACAAGAAATTCTTTTAATGATTGTTAAAATGTGAAAGTTAATTTTTGAATATTGAAATAATAAATGTTTTCATAATAAGTTCTTTAAAAGCATTTTGACTAGGAAATGCTATGTTACAGATCATTGATAACAAGTGGGCTACACGTTGTCTTGTATTATGGGCAGTATCACTCCTCACAGAAATAATAAAGTAAGATCTAAAATCTGTTTGTACACACTTAATGTGGAGGCCTATTAGTTAATGTTATATCTACAAATGTATGTCTTAAGCCAGGAACCATGGCAGTGCTGGCATAGTGGTTAATGTATCTAAGTCACTTCCAGGAACCAAAGTGGTTTGCACACCCATATTAGATGGGGAAATGCAACCGTTCCAGATAAATACTATTGATTTTTTAAAAAGTTTAACACTGTGACTTTTTGATTGCCTGAGTGCATTCACAAGCTATTTATAGACTTCATTTGCATGTTAAAATTTGCATACATACTTAAGTGTTACAGTGGAGTTTTACTTTGAAAACCATCATTTCTGAACAATATTTGAAAATACTGTTAAAAAGGTACATGAAACTAAAATAAATTCTGTGAACGCACTATGTTGGTTTTGTCATTGCGCGTCTCATATATTGATGAAATTTCCTTTTTAGAATGGTTAAACTACACTGTTATTAACATGTCTTGTTTTGCAGGGCCTTCATAAGAATAAATTTAAACAGGAATTCTCAGAAAAGATTGCTCAAAGAACAGCAGTTAGAAGCTCGCAATGAAAGGTATGATAATATGTTGATATATAGTTAATCTGGGTTCCCTCCCCTTACACTAATGCTTTTCGAAATAAATATAGGCAGGGAACCAGAGTAATATTCAGTTAGTCTGGGTTCCCTCCCCTTACAGTATTGTTTATCATAGTAAATATAAGCCGTATCATGACAAAACCAACATAATGGGTTTGCGACTAGCATGGATCCAGACCAGCCTGCAGTCTGATCAGGATCCATGCTGTTCACTTACAAACCCTATAACAAGTAGAAAAACTGATAGCGAACAGCATGGATCCTGATCAGACTGCTGGTCGCAAACGCATTATGTAGGTTTTGTCGTGACACGGCTCATATAGAGAGGGAACCATACTTATGGTTGCCTCCCCTTACACTAAGAAATGTTAACGGCTTGCCCCCTGACAGTGTTTGAACCCATAGGACCAGCGATCCTTATGTTACTAGTCTAATGTGTCAACCACTCAGCCATGCTGCTACTTATCTTTATCTTTAGTGTATTTGGCTTTTATTTCATGATGAAATTATGAAGGTATGGGATATTTGAATGAGTGTAGATTAGATACTAAATTTACTAAATGCCTTGAATGAAATCGTATTATGCAAGCCTCTATTTATCACACGTTCAAAAAGGGAACAGTTTCCAGTAAAAACAACAAAACAACTTAATCTTTCATTGACTTTAGTGTAACGCTAACATTAGAGCACTTTAATGCTTTGACTCTATGTTTGTATATATAACGCAAATGACGTCACATCAAAGTGTTATTACACAAGTGTAATGTCGTTTTTATTAAATGGCTTAAATAGGCTCCTACACTTTGGTGTATGTGATAAAAATACATAGCACATAAACCAAGGCACAGGAGTGTAATAAAGCCTTAATAAAAACGATGTTACACTCTCTAGTGTAATAACATTTAGATGTGACGTCATTTGCATTATATATAAACATAGCATTAAGCGGGCTAATATATGCATTACACTATAGGTGTGTCAATGAAAAATGACTCTTTTTTTTTTACAGTTTACCGTTCTAATTTTGTATATGTCATAAATAGAATATTATATTCATGTAGATTCAATACTAAATTGATTGAACTCGTTGAATGAAATAATATATTGATCGCCAACGGCTGGCATAAAATAATTTTATTCAACTCATTCAATAAATTTAGTATTAAATCTACACTCATTCATTATCCTCTATTTACATTTACTTTGTATCCTCTATTTATCATGGATTTAGTGACTGAATATTATAGCATTTAAATTTCATAATCTTTCACAATATGTCAGTATGACACTCAGATTTAAAGGCTTTTACCTGTACTTTCAGCGACTCATCTGAGATGACGACTAACATACGAAGTCAAATACGTGCCTTAGAAAGTCAGGAGAGAGACCATTACTGGGCTATAGTTGAAAATTGTGCCGATCTTTTCAATGCCATAAACTGGCTGCCGGCTGGATATCTTTGGGCAGGTAAATTCACATCCAGATTTTGTGGCGGCATGGGAACCATATCCTCAGCAATAAAACTGTACCGTATTCACAGTGCGAAATGGAATGTGTCATAATTGGGTACCAGACTGTTAAAGTTTTTATTATTTAATGAAAGATGCATAATGTATCCCCTTGTAGATGTAATAAATTCATGTTAAACATGGCCATTGTTTAGAATTTTGTTAAATTGTTAAAGCTGTATTAAGTTAAAGATTTAGTAATAAAACTTGTTTTGTTGTTACCAATGGCTCAAAAATGCCAATGGTAAACTAGAAAGAAATCTTTATCACTAGAAGTTATCGTTAAAATAATATTTAAATAGAATTTTTTTCCTGTTTTAAGCTTTACTGATATACATTTTATATGATAGGACTATCCTTGTTTGACAAAGTTGAGCCGCATTTTTATACAATTTTTTTATCAAGTTTGTTTTTGTACTACTGCATCTTTCACTTTACCCTTAGAGATATCACTTTTAAACATAGAAAACTGTTTCTTGTTCTCCACCATTTTTAGACAGGAATATATACATGTAACTGTAATATATGTCATGCACTTTGTTTTAATTATTCCCCCTTTTTCCCCTTTAAAACAGGGAGTTTTAATTCTGCTATTCAGGGAATGGTAGACAGTGTTTTACTATAGACAGTTCTCATTAGAAATCATGTTCCAAAATAAAATATATCTTGCTCATTCAATGCTGGTTATATATTATATGGCAGTGTCTCTTTTGATCTTGAAAATAAGACTTTTTTATGCTTCATGAAACTTTTACGTGATTATATATTACCTGGTTTGTCATTTAGTCCTTTTTATTCTGTCACAAATACAAAAATGTAAATCCACTGACCATTTATAAGCTTGTCTATTTTGAAGATTTAGTCAAGCTATTATGAATGTTGCAGCATTGTTAATGTCGTTGTTGATGGCGTGCAAAAACCTTACATGTAGCCCATTATTTTATCATTTTCAAAAATCTCAACATTTTTAGATGTTAGATAAAGGGGCATAATTCTTAAAGCTATATTTTTTGGATTATGTTATTATCATCTAAGCCACAAAGTTTTCAACCTCGACAGAAAGTCCTTGATAAAGAGGAGTTTAACCCCTCGAAACATTGGAGGTTGAACACTTTGTGGATTAGATAATTATTAATTAATCATTTCCAGAGTGATTTTTTTTTTTTTGGAGTTACATTGTATTCCCCCATTTTAACTTAGAATATTGGTTGGCAAAATTGAGTGTTAACATAGCATGCATTGCTCTTGTTGACTGATATTATGTATGAGGGTATCATTTACAAACCTGACATGTTTTTACTTCATTGTGCCTGGGCACATACATCTTTCATATTACTTTTTAGATTTATTTATTCATGTAATAAAAGTAATATTTGTTGTCAGTGTTTTATTATATACTTAAAAGGATATTTTTCAGTCACTTGAAAATCAAAAATTTTATATGTATTTCATTATAAGTCCTTTGACATGTGACACAGGGTTGAAAAAAAGGTGCAGCCTGACTGGAACTTAATTCAGGACCCTTATGGGCTTTGGAATACTGGTCCGCCGCTATCAAGTTGCTTAAACATCTTACATCTCCCTTATAAGTGAACTTTTCTGTATCTTGATATATAATATGGCTATGAAAACAGTTATTATAACAGGTAGGGGACTTTTGTATTGCTTGCAGTACTTTGATAATTATTGCTTGTTATGAAACTATTTTGCTTTGAAGTATGTATAGAATGGACTTTACTAGGCCATGCTCTTATGTGGCACAGATGTATAAAGTGTGATGCGTTCTTGGACTATTGAAAATCTATGAGAGCCAAAATACAAGCACAAGGGGAAGAAACTCTTATTATTATTCTTGTATTATATATTCTCATATAGTCTATGTCAGAAACATCTTTACTATTTTAAGTGACATTATGCTTATTTTTTTGTTGTCAAGTTAAGCTTTATTAGTTAAATTATGATATATTTCAAAAGATTGTCTGTAATAATTGTTATTGACCTAAAATTGATAGTAGAAAATGGTATTTAAGGATAAAATATTTTAACTTCCTGAAATACAAAAAGACTGCCCCAATCTATTCGTCAATTGAAGGTTGCAGGTACATTTTGAAATATATTTATAGAATTATCCACATGGGTTTTTGATTGTTTTTGTAACTAAAAATAATTTTGGTAAAATGTATTTTTTTATTTTTATTTTTTTCTTTGACCTGCACATTCGCTATTTACATGGGCATAATGTCACTTTAAGATATTAAAAATTTTCTGTCTGTATGGTTTTGGTTTTGAAACATGCCTTAAATTTAGCAAAATGTGAACATTTATGTATTAAACAGATATATTAGTGTTGTTTATGTAGTTTATACCTTGTGTAACATTTTTACGTTTGCTGTATTATTAACAAAGATTAAAACATAATTAAACTAAAATGGAGTCTTCTCGAACTTGACCATTACTAATGCCCTACAAGGAAACATGGTTGCTATAGTTACCCCAGTGGGGTGGACCTTGAGAAGCACTTCGTCACAAGGTCACATGATCTTACATAAGATGAATTGATTGCATTATACTATATTATGGTATGTGTCTTTGTTTGATTTTTATAGGAATATTATTAGTTTATGAAGATTTTAAGCCTGTTATATGACCCTTTATTATACTGCTTGTTTATTACACGTCGCTTTTCATTGGACTATTGTGACGTTTATATTATTTTGTATACACAGCTTCTGTCATTTTACCAAGAAATCTTTCTTTTTTTTTCTCTAAAAAGGAAGTTTGCTGTGTTATAAATGTGTTAATAATAAATGAAAATTAGTTAATAAATGAAGATTACAAACAGATTATATGACTGTATATAAAAGGTTCTTTTCAATATAACCTTAGCAAATTTATGCAACATACTGTTTATATAGGGCCATATAGCCTGCCAAAAATCTTTTTAAGTATTATTATGAATGGTTGTTTGTATATATAACCTAAACCAGGAAGCTTGGGTTATATTGCAAATAACTATTAAAATATGACCATATAACCTGTTAAGAATCCTTGTAAAAAATTTATTATATGACAAACTTCTGTTATTTAAAAAGCAATGAAATTTCTGCATAAATTGACAGAAGTTGTGTATAAAGTTTAAATAAATGTCTTAATTATCCAATGAAAAGGGACGTTACATATGTGAAGTATTATAAATATGTATAGGATGAATAGTATTATTGAAAGATGCTGAAAACGAAAGATACAGAAATATAAATGAATGTACGAAAGGGAAAAAAATCATTTAATTGTAAATGGTGGTGATATATAGCAAATATTTATATCAAAAGTTGTATTTTGACAAATACTAGTTTCAGGTGTAAAATATAATATATTTTCTGATACGCTCTTTCGGTATCTTTCAGTTCTTTTGGCATATGTACACATTTATAAACATATATAATTATGATATAACAATGTTCCTAATGTAACAGATGAGCCAATATATGTTGAAAGTTTATCCTTGTGTCATGTTTACTAATTTATATGTCACATTTTGTACTGGCATTTCTTCGTAATATACAGCATCTGAAACCTAAAAAAGCATATAATGTATGAATAAAATTGTACAACAATCATAATTGATAACTATTTTTTTTTTTTTTTTTTTTTTTTTTTTTAGAAAAAAAATCTTCTTTTTATAATCAGGGATATTTTATTCTCTATACCCACTTTTTCATATAATTTATCTTGACTTTATCTGGGAAGAAGATAAATATAAATCTATAATAAATATGATTTTATAGTAGTACAATTATTATAATATATCTACAAAATGCACTTTGATTTAAACCTTATTTAAAAATTGAGTAACAATAAATGGTCTAAGGGGAACAACTTACAAGTCTGTTTTACTATATTAAATGGAATGTTTTTAATTTTATATACATGTATTTTGAAGACCTTAATTGAAACGATATGTTAAGGGAGAGAATTGAACTTTTTTTTTAGAAATCGCTTTCCATTGTTAAAGGTCATGTTTTATATAGTAGCAATGAAACGTTACGATTCACAGCAGTTAATGTTCCAAGAGAGACAACTTTTTTGTTTGGTTTATTAGATACATATTTCTCTTCCTTGAGTGTAAACATATCTTAATTAGACAAAGATTGTATCTATGTCTCTGGTATAAGAGAGACAACAAGTGCATTATTACATTTTAGGGTACCTGTTTATCTCCCCTTATTTTTATATAGATAAGTACATTGTAGTAGAAAATTATAGTAGAGCTGTGATCATTTAAGGTAGTTTCTTCTCGTGCTGTAGAATAAATTGTCCGATTTCTGCGAAGCGGCCAGTCCCGTTTCTGCAGGCATGTTCGTTTGAAAGCTCTGGTGGATCCGGAAATGTAAAATGTATGGAGTATACGTCAGTTCGCCAATTAAACGGCTGCTCCTCCATAAAGTTTTTGAAGTCCTTATGGAATGTAGGGTGACATTTTAATCTGAAGCACATTACTTGTAAATGTTTTTCTATTTTAATGTACTGAGGATATTTTTCATATATTTTATACGGTAATTCTACGGCATTATATAAGAAGTCTTCAGATTTATAGTTGGCTAATGCATCCTGCCATCTTTTTATAAAAGTAGCTCCTGGTTTTGCCATTAAAACACCTAGATTTATCGTATTTGGAAAATTACCCTGTTGTATATGGTCAAAGTTTGCTATGACGTCATATCCTTTTTGTATGACGTCATCTGGATTTTTGAGCCACAGGACATCCCAGTCCATGTAAATGCCTCCATATCTCAGTAAACATTCGGCTCGAACTATGTCACTGCGGTGCTGAGTATATATGACTTTATGTCCATATATGCTAAAAGGTTTCTCCCGGTGTACAAGGATAACTCTTTCATCTTTCAATATTCTCTTATAGTAGCCTCCCTTTAGCTCACCATCCGTGTGTATATATACCTTCTCTGGATTTAAAATGAACAAAGTGCTGAGCATGCTAAGAAACATCATAAAATCCATTTCCTTTGAGCCAAACCAGACGTAATGGACTATTTTCGGAATGGTTCCCGGTAGAATTGATTTAGCTTCTTTCTTTTCACTTGAACTATAAAGAATTGTTCTAACCAATTTACCGAAATGTGTGTCTGATTCAAATTCATCCGCGGGGTTTAAAGGGGAACTTAAAACATAGCAAGGTGCATAACTACTGTTCGTTTCTTCATTTACAGTTGTACAGAACTGCGAGTTATTAGGAATTTCTTTATTTTTCACAAACGTTCGTATAAACTTCTTAAAATTGTCGTCATGATCTTTCCCCATTGCTATGGCAACGCGAGGATGTTCTGATGATTTGTACTCCGAGAATAAAACAGTCATATCATGTTTAAGGAATGAAACTACTTCCTGTGTTATGACGACATTTTCATCCACGTAAATGCCTGAAAATAATTGAAGAAATACCTTATAATAGCTACAAGGTAGAACATATGAGCAGTAGGCCATTGAAATTTTATGACATAAGTGGACTTAAAACCACTTGACCCTTGCCGCTGTGGGTTCGAATCCCAACAAGGACTTTGGATTCTTTCATGTAGGGAAGCTATCCATAACTGTCATATTTAACCACCATACATATATAACTATGACCAAGACCCAATTTGAAACATTATAAGCAAGGGGGCAACAATTTAACAATTTTACGCTATTCTAGAACCCCTTGCTCATAGTCTCAATAAGAACATTTTGAAAGACGCTGATTAAGTTAATCGGGAACATTTTATTTATCTCTTAGTCTTTATTTGTTCGTTGTTAATTTGTAAAGTAACAAATGACTAATTATTAACTCTCAATTTATGAGAAATCTCGTATTAGAAGAATTATCGGAAATGAGGCTCAAACTTACCACCCCTGTCATCAATGACCGCAAGGCCGAACCAAAACCCACAACCGTTATCGTCACCGTCCCAATTTGGTGGAATCATCTTCATTATAAAATTTGGAACAGTTTTCTTAATTTCGGTAAGCCAATCGTCATACTTGTCAGATTTTGGCGCCACCTTTTGGTGAAATTCTATGATATCCGGTCTCAGTATCTTCCAGACGCTCATTATACTGAGATAGTTCCGGAAGTCGAATATTTTGTCATCACACCACACGTAATGAACAGTATTTATGACCTTGTTTCTGCCCAGCTCACTTAATCCAGAATTTCGGAAACCAGCAAGTTCGTGTAAAACTATTTCCGCGTCAAAATTGTCTGATATTTTTATATCCGCTTTTACGTCCGTGTCAGGAATGGAAATAAGTCCTCCAAAGTAGCTAACAGCACTTAGACTGTCAAGTGCACAGAAAATGGCTATCTCATACACTAAAGTAAGGCACACTGCAACAAATATGGCACTCAAAATGTAAGCACGAAATGTGCATCTGCACCTTTTCCTAGATTTTCCCATTTCTAATACTTATACGTTTCTGAAAGAAGAAAAAATAGATAATTGAGTGATATAATAGAAAAAGTTATATACAACTGTTACAATCTTCTAAAAGAATGCCTTCTTTAAACAGCAAAATATCGGTTTTGTAGATTTTCTTAAGTATTGCACATTATTTGTCTTATTTGCAAGAAACAATCGAACAATTGACTGTAAATTATTAATCGTTCCGATATACAGGTAAGTTCTGAAATCGGAATATTACTATACTGTGATAAACCGTGGTGTTACATCGTAATTACTTTATCATTTAAAATTATTGCAAGTCTATAAATGATAATTCCATTGATATCGGATAGGCGTAAAATGCAAAAATTAGTAACAGTATATAAAGTTAAAAATGGTTTCCTTCTACAAAACCTAAAAAATTTTTTACCAATGTTAGTTTCAGAAACAACATATTATTCACTTAAGCTTGGGACAATAACAATTATATACAACCCCAGGTGTATCGAAACGTACGATAAGTCATTCATATACCGTCCGCTACAGAATAGCTGAGACACTGGTGTTCGCGAATCAATTTCAAATTAAGATTGTAAGAAAAGTTTAAAGCCCCTAAAGTACCTAAACATTTTTTTGGTTTGGTATATATCAGTCTAATATGCTAGATTAAGGTACATACTGACCTTTAAAAAATATTAAAAGAGAAAATTCGACGTGTAACTGTCGGTATTTTATGGAGAATGCTAAACACTGTGTATTTTGTTGTCCATTTTTTAAAACTTAAAGAGTCATACTCTGTGTAGAAACTAAAACTTTTAATCAACTCCACTGAGGTTTTTTGACACGATGGGACTGACAATATTTTTTCAAGATAAATGTACCATTTGATGTAGGCTTAGACCACTAATCTTAGTGAAACATTTCAGATTATTCGTACACTTCGTTTTTCCAGGATAATTATTCAATTGTAATAAAATGACCCAAAATGAAAAGCATTTAAACGCTTTTCACTCAAATCGGGCTAAGAAAAGCATAAAAATACGATTTTCAATTTATTTCAAAGTGTATTTCTTTAATAATATTTGTATATATTTCTGTTTAAAGTGCCCCAGCTCATTTATGTAAGAAATTCAAATGTTATATGTTTTTAGGCGTTTAAACCTCAGTGGAGTTCCTTTAACATCGATTTTTCCTGTCATTGTATCTTATTGTAAGCTTAGTAAGTGTGTTTACCCACTGTGAGAATCAAAATCCATGAGTGTTCTTACATGACGTCACTTTAAGAAGACGAACTTCCGTAAAAAAGACGGCATTAAAAACAGACTAGCACTTTTAAAAGCCGTTCTTTCCAAATTTTATTTATAATAAACACTAACATACACATAACATGTATATTTATCCAATGCGGGGTACAAGATCCGGGTAACGTCTTGCGTTATTTAACACGAGCATGTTCTGAAAACGAGGCTTCAAAAAGTTCCATGCTACAGGCGTCGGCCATTTTCAAATCACGTAACATATTTATCTTATTCTTAAGCTTTTGAATAATGAATAAGAAAACGATCGTAAATATTGAATAAGCTGACATTGATGGCTGAGTTATAAATTTGTAATGATCATATTTGACACTTGGTGCACGCTTAATTAATGGTGAATAATAAATGAAAACGAACATTTACTCTGGATGTAGAGTGTTGTGCAAAACAGTATGTTTGTGTTTTAAATCGATTGTTTTTCATGGAAAATTTCGCTCCTTCCCGTCAAACTTTGGTTAAGAAACTGAATATTAAGAATATGTTATTTCTATTTAATCTACTCAACAAAAATAGATGTTAATAAGTAATGATTTAATGAGTTTCCGAGTCCATCCCAAAGTGGCTAAGGTCGTTGACTTCAACCCACTTGCCCCTCACCGCTGTGGGTTCGAATCTCGAAATGGTATTTAAATTGTTTCATGTTAGGAAGCTCACCAAGTAGTTTACGGAACGTCGGTTCCCGTTCGTGTCTGAAATATTGCACGCGTAAGGGCACCTGAGGTCTGCCTAGAAAACCGCCATATGACCTATACTGGGTTGGTTCGACATAAATCTCAACCAAAAAGAAAAGTAAAAATAAGTAATATCATACTCTTGAAGAACACAGCTGTAATCATCCAGCCCAGTATCACAAATGTTATCATTAGTCACGAGATATATATTCCGAATGTTTTTTTCAGAACAAGCTCTTGCAGCAATCATTTGTCTATACGTATTGTTACTGTGCATCTATCCTACATAAAAACTGGACAGTTTCACATAAATTATAGCAGACTTAGAGATATGGCTGGTAAGATAAACTGATAACACTCTATATCAGAAATTACAGAGCTCACCCACCTGACGTATCTCGCACGGTTTTAAATCTCACTAACGTCCATTTATCCTAATTTTAAACTGATTAAAAAGTCTTAACAATGATCTATGTGCTCCACGTCTTAAAAACCTTTAAGCATTTTTAAAATGTTTCCATTCATTTTAGGCCAAACAATGAAATAAATGGGTTATGAACTCTTGTAGCGCGTGCATGGCTTCTTCTTGCAAAAAAAAAAGAATTCTACGTCATATTGTCACTTTTAAATACTAGAACATTTGTATACTATAATAGGATAAAATACAATTAAAGCAGCGTGACTCCATATTCATGCTTATTTCAATAGAGTATTTGAAAATGTATTCAAAAGTAAAATGTTGTCATGTGAACAAGCAAATGGCACTAATAGAATCCACATAGATTACCAGAGGTCAAAATATGCAAAATAGTCCATACGGAGTTAGTCACGCGTTGATAAATACTGCAAAATTAGGCATTAATCGCACATAGCTTGTAAATTATTACTTGCATCTTGATTATTTTTTTTAACTTTTTATAAAATCTAAGTACATGTTCTCTTGAAATATTTTGGCTCATCTGAAGGAATGCAGATTTAACTAGAGAAATATATAAGCCGCATCACGACAAAACCAACCAAGTGGGTTTGCGACCAGCATGGATCCAGACCAGCCTGCGCATCCGCGCTGCGCTGTTCGCTTACAAATTCCATAACAAGTAGAGAAACTGATAGCGAACAGCATGGATCCTGATCAGACTGCGCGGATTCGCAGGCTGGTCTGGATCCATGCTGGTCGCAAACCCATTATGTTGGTTTTGTCGTGACGCGGCTCATACATTTTAATTTTGAATGCATTTTTTTGTTTAATACTGCACGATAAGAAATATAAATGATAGGTATGTATATTATTCTTTGTGAAGGACTGATATCTGCATGTCTATCCATTCTAATTTACACAAAGACGTAAAGTTACTGAAACTTGTTCGGAACTACTTTTAATAAGTGGGTATTTTCCATGATATCTGCATTTATTACTACCGTTTCTTTTGTTAAAATGAATTGTAAATTAGTGGAGGTTTTAGTATTTTAAGCTTATTTCAAATGACCGTAAACATGAACAAATGGTTAATTTTAGTACCCTTTTTCGAAACTCAATTTTGACAATAGTTTTTCTAATCCGTCCTTAATTCTGTAAGTAAGTCGGTCAGTTATATCGACCAAGTTAATGCAAACAGTAAAAACACTAAAATACTTGTGATCAAGTTTTTTTCTATAAATACAGGATTTATTTTCATCGAGTGGTATGAAAATAAAATATTCAATAAACCGCGGTAGCCACGAGTGAAATATGATGATTTTCTTACCACAAAAGATGAAATAAATTCTGTATTTACATAAAAAAATCTTGAATTTTCTGTTTATTAATATACATTTTGCACTTTTTTGGACATTACAATTTAAAAAGACTTCCCCAAAATATTTGAGTATTGGCTGAATTTAGAAGAAAGTAGTCCGGCAAAACATCAGTGAAAATACGGAAAATATCTTTCATTGCAGTGAAAAATAAACTTTTTACAGTTTAAATACGCATTTTATTTCATCATTATTTCTCAATATTTCATTTATAAGTTTATCATTTAAAATATAATATTGCACGGTCTCTTTTGTTCTGACACTGCATGTGAATAATGTCTCTGCATAAATTTTGTTTAATGATTAAATAACTGCGGTGCAATACATGCAGATACCAGGAAGACAACTGAACGCTTTCCAAATATAGACCACTTTAAGATTCAGAATCCCCGATTCTGTTTATTAATGTAACCCCTTTATAAGTTTTAATTTCCTCTAAATTGTATTTCATAATGTCATTCAAATTAATATTTTCATTAAAAAAAATGACCCACCTGTTTAAAATCAATTATTTCAACTCCGCTCAACTCTACGTCCGGATCTACTTCCGGAATTCCGATAAGAATAGCTACTGTAAATTATCCATGAACAGAACTTAAATTATGTTTCTTACTAAGTATTTCTGGTTTATACACTTGAAGGAAATATTATCTTTAACAAATCATTCTTCTCTCGGCCCACGCATGCTGATTCAGAATAAAGAGCATAAGTTGATCGTTACATTTATGCATGTGTTTGTTTACATATAAAATCTTGAATTTCATGTAAAAAAAACCTCATGATTTTCTTGTACATACTAGACTGAACTGGACAGGGTTTCAAAAACAATTTCCACTGGTTCGAATACTTGTGAGCGTTATCCATGAAAATCATGAACACGTGTATTTATTTAATTAATTATTTATTTATTTATTTATTCATGCATCCATGCATTCCTTCTTTCCTTCCTTCCTTCCTTCCTTCTTTCATTCATTCATTCATTCATTCATTCATTCATTCATTCATTCATTCATTTATTTATTTATTTATTCATTTCTTCATTAATTCTTTCAATTATTAATTAATTCATTCACACATTCATTCATATTCATTCGTTCCTTCCTTTTCTTATTTTATTTATTTTTATTTATTTATTTATTTATTTAATTATTTATTCATTCATTAAATT